AGTGTATTTCAGTCAATCTGCCTGTCCTGCTCCCCACTCTGTCTCTGGTGAATTCTCTCACCTCTGGCCCCAGTTCTTATATGCATAAATAAAATATTTAAAAATAAAAGGTTTTTACACAGTGGGAAAAAGTAAGTCAATTAAAAAGATATTCTATAAGATAAGAGAATATATTCACACATTACACAACTGAGAAGAGGCTAATATCCAAGATATGCAAAAAATACATTCAATTTTAAAATTAAAAAAAAAAAATCACACAACAAACAGGAAACTGATCTGAACAGAAAAGTCACTATAGAGGATATCCGTTAAGACCAAAAGATACATGAAAAAATGTTCAGTATCACTTCTAGTAAATAAAACGCAAGTCAAAATAACAAAGATCTCATACTTGTGAGAATGGCATAGTAAAAAGACCACTACCATCACGTACTGGATAGGGTGATGCAGTGAGGAGAATGAAGAATCCTAGTATAAACCGATGCAGCCATTTGGGAAAGTAATCTGAATTTACCTTTAAAAACTAAAAATGGTGGGCAAGGTGTTCGGTCTCAGCACAATGAAGCTACTGACAGCCACTGCAGCACAGGTTCCTGCCCCAAGTAGGGAGCTGACCCACACGGCAAGGCAGACCTCGCCTGTCTCACCCGCTGCTCCCCTCAGCAGTATATTTCAAGAGATCTGCCTGTTCTGCATCCCACTCTGTCTCTGGTGGAGGCTCTTACCTCTCCATACCTTTGGCATAAATCCCAGCTCTTATATGCATAAATAAATAAATCTTAAAAAAAAAAAACCTAAAAATAGAAATACTTTTATTACTCAGCATCTATTCAAAAAGCATAAACCACTGACTCAAAACATTACAGGCCCTACAGCATTATTTACAAAAGGTAGGTAGAATATGTTTATTACAGCATTATTTACAAAAGGTAGGTAGAATATGAAAACCACCTAAGTGCCCACTGACAGAGGATTGATTGAGACATGGTATAGCCACACAATAGTGTATTTTTTAGCCATAAGTTAAAAAAAAAAAAAGTTGACTTTGTCAGCAAAATGGAAGGAATTTGAGGGAATTATGTGCAATAAAGCAAGTCAGGATGACAAAGATAAATACTGGCTGTTTACACAGTAGAACATTTAACAAAGGAAAATAAAAACTCATAAACAACCAAACAAAAAAGCCTGATTAAAAAATGGGCGGATGAATTAAACACATTTCACCACAGAAGACATATAGATAGCCAACAGATGCAGGAAAAGACCTTCCATATGGCTTATCATTAGGAAAATGCAAACCAAAACCACAATGACATTTCACCTTAAACAGGTTAAAAATGGTTATATCAAAAAAAGGTCAAGAAATAATAAATATTGGTGAAGATTGGGAGAAAAAGGAACCCTCACGCACTATTGAAGGGAATGTAAACTGGAACAGCCAGTATGAAAACAGTAAATGAAATAAGAACTACCATTCAAGTAAACCCACTTCTGGATAGTTACATGAAGAATATGAAAACACTAACTTTAAAAGACATATGCATTCCTGTATTTATTGCAGCTCTATTCACAACAGCCAAGATATGGATACAAGTGTCCGACCATAAATCAATGGATAAAGATGTGGTTGGTATATATACACAATGGAATACTACACTCAGCCATAAAAATGCAAAACAAAAGATGAAATCTTGCCATTTTTGACAGCATGGGTGGATGGACCTTGAGGAAATTATGCTAAGTGAAATAATTCAGAAGGAGAAAGACAAATATATAAGATTTCACTCAGTTGTGGAAAAAACAGAAAGCAAAACAACAAAAACCTTAAGCTCTAACGGAATGGTGGTTGCCAGAGGAAAGGAAAGGATGGTAATGACGGCAGGGCTAGCTGGCTGGTGATGAATGATGACTGGGTATTTGGTGGTGGGCATGGTGAGTAAAAGTACTCTTGGAACTTACTGTTGTAAACTCTCAATAAAAAAGAGGAAGAAGAATCTCTCTGGGGAAAAAAAAGAATACTAATAAAGGAAGTGAGACGACTGAGGAGGGGGGAGTAAAGGGGGTATAAAATACAGAGGAGAAATAAATGCACATCTATCCCAAAACATTTTTTAATGTATACAAATAATCAACAAACACTTGAAAAAATGTTGAAATCACTCATCGTTAGAGAAAAGCCAACCAAAATTGTGAGACACCATATCATACTCATTAGGAAGGCTGCTGTGAATAAAACAGAAAGGAGCCAGCACTTTGCTGACTGTGGAGGATGTGGAGAAACTGGAACTCTCATAGAAGATGGAAAGTAGTACATTTGCTATGGAAAACAACACGGTGCTTCTTCAAAAAATTAAAACTGGAGTTACCAGAAGATATGCTATTTTCTCTTCTGGGATATACCCAAATGAATTGAAAGTAGTGTCTCAAAAAGATACTGATACACTTATATTTAGTGCAACTAAATAGCTAAAACTCAAACTATCCATTGGTGGATAATAATGACAATCACAAAATGACAAATACTGTAAGATCCCACTTCGATGAAGTAGTCAAATTCGCAGAGACATAAAGCAGAACTGTTACTGTCAGGGACTGGGGAGTTACTGTTAAATGGGTATAGAATTAGTTTATTAAGAATCAATCCTGTAGATGGATTATGTCACATTATGAATATTCTTAGTATCATTAGATTGTACTCTTAAAACAATTAAGATGGTAAAATGTGTATTTTACTGCTGTGAAAAACACTGAGAAAAATATACAATGTACTACAATAGCATCTCTTATCCACTAGATGAACAAAGGTCAAAAGTATTATAACACTGTAGGGCTGATATATAGAGTAACAGGTATTCTCTACTACCTGGATGAGTGCAAAGCAATACCTGTATGGCAATCTAGTAACACTTTCAAATGCACATATCCTTTAATTCAGTTATTCCACTTCTAGGAATTTATACTGAACAATACTAACATGTGTAAAATAGAATATATACAACATTATTCATTGAAATATTGTTATGAAAAGCAAAGAATAGGGAAAAACAATCCAAATGTTGGTCAAGAAAGAACTGGACAAGTAAGTTACAGTACAGCCAAACAGCAGGATGACTATATATCCACAAAACACAAGAATAATTTTTTATTTGACATAAAGCAAGCTCTAATATATATTACATTAAAAAGAACAGAAATTATATATTCCTATTTGCTTATAAATGCATAAAAGTTACATGAGAAGTTACATAAGAAATAACAGTATTTGCTTCTGGGATGGAGAACCAAATGGCTAAGGAAGATGGATGGAATAAAAACGTTTCAGTGCATTAATATTTTTTGGACCTTTGAGCTATATAAGTATCTTACTTGCCGAGGTAGTAAAATTAAAACATACAAGAGTCCTTCACTTTTTATTCTGTCAACTCACAGCTCTACTAGCAATGCCATTTCCCAGGCTAGACTGACGAGACTGAATCAACAGTCCCCAAAACCCTTTCTGTGGCCATCTCTGACAGGACCATTGCTAGAGTTCTAGACATAATTTTCTCCTTCCACAGTTCTCATTGTTCTTTATCTTAAACACTTCTCCATGGAAACCAGCTAAGTTTTCACCTCACTAGCCCATGAAGGTAAAAGCCATCCCAGTTACTGCTCATGGTAACATACTGTTGAACAATTAACTAGACTGAATTTGGATACGTAAAACTGCCTGATTTTTTTTGCCTAAACTTTAAAAAATGCTTGTGTCTCCAAACACATACTTTCCCAGCCTGATATGTGCCTTACATTATTAATAATTTATAATTCTGGGTTATAGATTTTATATAAATATAATTCTGGGATATAGATTATATGCATGCATAGCAGACACAGCTATTTAAGTTGAACGAAAAACTGGAAAGAAATTAATCAAATATTCAAACCTTCAGGTATAGAGAACTTCAGGAAAAGCTAGAGTAATATTAGGTTCTCCTTGGAAGAAATTCTCAGGGTGATTGAAGCCAATCCAACAGGTATCACTGTTTACTGCCAGTGAGAGCACATACAGCCACCTCTTAGGATTGCCTTATAGATAAGTGTAACAATATAAAAAATAAAATTCAAGTCTGGTTTGGGTAATACCTGACAGAATTTCTAATGAAATGAACTTAAGCGTCATCTAGAAGCATTCTAGAACTCCAGCATCTAGAACATCCAACATCCCAAACAGATCTAATAGAGATATATGATTAAAAACTTCAAGTATTTTACTGACATGGCCAGAGTTGGAGTAAATCCAAGGGAAGCACTGGGACGAGCTAGTATCTACTGGGGGCAGCATTTCGCCTCAGTAGGTAAGAAAGGACAACTAATGTGTGAGAACTGTGTCAGTACTTCTATTTGTTAGTATTACTTTCTTATTTTAGAAATGAACAAACCTAAGGTATATACAGGTTAAACAATATCCCAAGACACAAGCCAACATGCAGTGAATAGGATATAAATCCAGTTCTCACCTGACTCCACAGTTAAAGAGCTTTATACTTTTCTAAATGAGAAAATCAGATTCCTCCATATAGCATAGCTAATAGTAGCAAAGTCCCTCTTCATGCTTTAAATCAAAGCTTATTAAAAAGTGAAACTACAACACAGTTGTCTGACTTAAAAACGTGAATTATTTTAACTGAGCTGTGTCAAAAATCAATGGACCAGATCATTCTCTCTAGTGAAGCCTACTGTTCCCCAGAAGCTGCTTTTGTTTTATCCCTACCTAATATTACTATCTCTTCAGCAACTGCACTATGACAAAGTTATTCTGTTCCCCGACTTAAGCCACACAGAAAAGACTGTATGGGTAACTCTATATACATGGCTGTGCTGTGGGGCACAGAAGAAATTTTTTAACCATGTAAACTGACTATGCACATGTAAATTTTCTTTTAAATGTTTTACAGAACCTAAATTTGTTTTATAATGTAAGTATCAGTATCAGAGTTTTAAATTTAATCCATTTTTACCTTTTTCTTGCCTGTTACCGTCCATTCTTTGAGTACTTCATTGGCACTACCTGAAAAGAGAAACCAATTACAGATGTCTTCTCCTAGCACATTAATGATGACAAACAGTAATTCCTGCGTTTTGTAACTGCTGGAGAATTTCCCAATTTCCTTAGAGGAATAGTTAAGGATCAAGTTTCTGAAATAATATGAGATTGCTGTATCATGCTTTCCTTGTGGAAGCCAGCCTATTTAGAACCCCTTCTCATGTAATCTCCTCAATAAGTTCTTCTAAGAAGAGACTAATGATATAGTGTGACCATTTTGAAGCTTTAGAAGATTTATACAACTTAAACCAAATACAAAATCGACTGGTGTTAGCCCAAGTATACCATCCCCTTTCTTCCCCATCTTCCTCCTCCTGTTACACACCACTTTGGCTATACTGTTTGAGAGAGAGCTTTGTACTATCTAGATCCAAATGCTAATATTATAAAGAAAACAGATGATGAAGGGAAAACTTACAGTACTAGGGCCTGTTTATTCTATACTGGCAAATTCAGAAAAGCACAATCAGAGACTTAATCAGACTTCACTGTTCAATGATAAATAAGTTTCAGGTAAAGTTTCTCTCAAATGAGTTATGAGGAAAACATTTTGTAAAATACTGCTCAAATCTATAAACCTGAAGGATTGGCTAAGCCCACCATTATTCTCGATATTACATAAGGAAACTAAAACCCATATATCTGACTGACTCACTGGAGGCAAGCTAAATGGTATCTGAGCTTGGAAGAGAATGCTGAGTCTTTAAATTTGCCATCTGGAGCACTGCACCACTACTCAGTCATTAGAAGTTTCTTCAATTCTTATTCAATCCAAATCCAATCAAGTCCCTTACACCACTGGCCACACAATTACTTCTTATATACCAATCCGGCCATTTTAAGTCAGAGTTTTCTCAGCTTGTCTCATATTACAGATATCACAAAGCACAGGAATACACATTATCATGGGATTTCCAATACCATCTATGAAACACCAGGTTGCTGAAAATGTTACAAAAATCTGAAGCAACTTCTACTTGACTATAAACTTACTGAAAAATTGGGTTAGAATTACCTTCCATGAATGCCTGTACTGTTTTATCCACACAATTGTCATAGTGCTGCAAAACCAGGATGATTTCATTGTTGCTCTTATTGGGAACTATAGCACGCACAGCATTTATCTGGAAAAGATAACAGGGTCATTTCATTCTACCATCAATAGGTGTCACCTGACAGCTGAACTTATTGCAAAGAATAAAGAGTAAAATTTTATTTCCAATGAAAAGTACAGTGAGAGCACATACAACCATCTCTTGGGAATGGCTACTAAGAACATAAAAAATAAATTTCAAAACTTAGAAAAGCAGAACATTTCTAGAAATGTGCTAGATTTTATTTCAAGAATGGATGGTTTAATTGAGGTTCCGAGCATTAGTTTAGCATCAACATTTCCTCATTTTTTTAGTATATTATAGAGAAAGGTAGAAAATTTAATGAATCACCAACAACTCAGGTTTTTGTATCGCATTTTTAGAATCCTTTATACTTAACACTACTTAATTGTATAATGCTATAATGATAACTTGTAGAGATAGTCTGAATTATTATAAACTATTTCAGGCATGCCAAACATAATGAACACCATTTGGCATAGCCAGTTTAATAAAATAAAATAGGTGCATTTGAAGCCTTAATGAAGTCTCTCATAAATCCATTTCTCCTCTCTAAATTACTACCTTGAATTTAGTGCTGTTTCAGTGTTTTCATACTTCTATGATGTAAGTATACAAAGGTAATATACACTATTGCTTTGCATTGCATTATATTGTATTTATCTATGTTTAATTTGCTTTTTTTCACAGTTTTTTAGATTTTTCATTTTGATAAATATATCTCATGTATTTCTTTTACCTGTTATGTAGCATTTTCATTGTATGGATACAGCCCATTTACTCTCCTATTGGTAGATATGTAGGCTGTTTTTAAGGTTTGGATATTATAAAAAATTCACTAAGGAACATTTCTATGCTTATTTGGGCTGAATCCTCGGTGTCTAAAAGAAAGTTTAAACACACTGTTACCAATGGGAAAAAAAAAGGCCTTTTGTGAGAATAGAACATCTCTACGACATACAAGTACTAGTACAATTCCTGAATAGAAGGTCTATAATTTCATTAGATAATGAAGCTGCACTTTAAAACATACATGCCAAAGTTTTGGTCAGATTTATTACTAACATTTTATACATTTAAGATTAAAATGGCATCATTCTTTCTAGTCTTTTCCATGAACAGAAGTAGGAGATTTTGGTTTTGAAAAAAAACAAAACCTGAATCCCAGATACACTTGCCACAGAACTGTCGAATGGTATCCTAGTTCCTTGGTTCTTTTATTTTTTTGGCAGTGATAATTGTGTTTTAAGTTTTTTAACTTCTCTAATGACAACAAAACAAGCTTACTCTTCCATGCTGGGAAAAAAATAAAGAAAAAAAAATATCCAAATCATCACATTTTTGAGATGTGCAGATTATTTAGCTCTGATGACCTAGAAAATTGACATTAGATAAAACTTAACAGATTCAAAGATAAAGATACTAATAACTTAAAATATGAAAATGCTATTAAACCAATATATATCCGTGACTCTATAATCAATAATATAGTTTTTTATAAGACAGAATATACACATAAAGCTTTCTGTTTTATGTTTTTCTCAATATAGCTCTTTAGAGATCATATTACTAAAAATACCTGGCTTTCTTCTAAAGGAATATTCTTGAAAGATTTACTTATTTTCTTCCTGTCACGTTTCCTGAACTTCAGAATTTTATTCAGGTGAATGAGTAAATCCTAGTCAGACTGCCATGAGACAAACTTAGCCATGTAAGTAATATAATTAGCAGTGAGATATCTTCTACAGAATTTGAATGTGTATATATATGAACATATGCAAGGAATGCTAGGTTTGCACATAACCGGCCTTGATTCTTCAAAACCTTCATGGTTACTTTCTGATATAGTGGTATTCTCTTTTGTCTTAAACTTTCACCTTTTTAATGAATTTGTGTAGCCACTGAAAGTATTAGTACCTAAATTTTGCTATGACATTCAGGATGACCATTCACAGTAACTAGTCATACCTTCTCTTTCATGTTCTCAAAAGCTCCTCCCTGGGCCAGTACAGTATTGGATTGCAAATCAAAAATAAATCCTGATGAATCTGAAAGAACGAAAAGGTAAAAATACATTCAATATGATCTACATTCAACATGATCTAAAACTAACCTGAAATCCCAAGAGAGATTCCCAAAGAGAAAGGCCAAAGCCAGCTCTTTTTTATTTAGTGCATTTTGGAAAATTCTATCTTAATTGTGTGTGTGTGTGTGCACTTATCTGATAACTATATTTTGAGTCAATACTATAAAATAAAATTTCATTTTAATATAACTGTCACTACTTTAGAAAAACTCTAAATGAATCAATTATATTAGACTGTCAAATAATCCTTGGTATATTTAACTACCTAACTTTAAAAGTCCTCTAAAAATACTGCAAGTGATTAACTCCCCAAAGTAAAATTTACACTAAGGATGAGTTTCTGTAGCATTAAACATAACACATGAAAGTCATTTCCATCTTCTGGACTACATTACACGTATTGTATTCTCAGATGATCCACTTAGTGAACACATTCATGTTTGTGTCCCCATAATATAAAGCTTGATGAAGTAACATGCCTGGGTTTACACTACCAGCTGACTATGAGAAAACATAGCTCAATATAATTGATTACAGAAAAATGTTTGGTTTTCCTCTACCTACAAAGAAAAAACTATTTGCAAATTTAATCATTTTCTTTTTTTTTTCCCCAAGATTTATTTTATTTATGCATACAAGAACTAGGGTACAGGCCAGAGGTGTGGGGGGTAAGAGGGCTCACCAGACAGAGTGGGAAGCAGAATTGGTGGATTTGCTGAAACACACTGCTGCGGCTCCCCTCAGCGGGCAGGACAGGAGAGGTCTGCCACAGCATGTGGGTCACCTCCTTGGCTGGGGACCAAACTCATGCTGCAGTGGCCTTGGATAGCTTCACAGGGCTTTAACCCCTTGTACCACCAGGGAAGGCCCTAATCATTTTCTTAATCTATGATACATGTGTGGTCAATAAATTATATCAGTTTTAAAACCTGACAAGTTTGTTTTAGTTTTGCCTCCACAAACACCAGTGACCATACTCCATCTGCCTCAATGTACCATCTTTGATTTGCATTTCTTTTATAACAAGTAAGGTTGAACTTTTTTTTATATGTCTACAAGCCATCTGAATATCTTCTTTAAAGAAGTATCGAGTTCCTTTGCCCATTTTTAAATTGGGTCAGTTTCTTTATTGTTGGATTATGTAATTACTTGTAAAATTTGGAGATTAACCCATTATCAGATGTTTTAATCTAATGAAATGTAATTCCAGGAAACTGATATAGTGCTTCTCAAATTCTGATGTCATACTCAGTTTGGGAAATCTTAGGTTAAATGATCTAATAGACTAGTCTGAAGCCTGAGATTTTCATTCCCAGGTATTTTATCAACACTGTTGCACTACATGTGGGTGTCAGGATTTCCACAAAGCAATTAAAAGGGTAAATTTTGATTAAAGTGGTTGTTACTGTATGAATGTGTCTCCCCCCTCAATACTCATGTTGAAATCCTAACCTCCAAGGTGATGTTATAGTACATGGGGCATTTCAGAGGTGACAGGCCACAAGGGTAGAACCTCCTAAATGAATTTAGTACTTATACAAAGGATTCCGCAGGGCTCCCCAGGCCCTGCCACCGTATAAGAAGTCTGCAAGTTGTAAGAGGGCCCTTACCTAACTATGCTGACACTGACCTCAGACTTATGGCTTCCAGAATTGTGAGATTTAAATTTCTGTTGTTTATACTCATTTGAGGAATATTGTTGCAGGAAGCCAAACAGAATAAGAGAGGTATAAGAAATAAAGCAATATTCTAGAACACTTTCTAAATTCTTGGGCTATGACAATGTTTTAAACCTCTTACAATTCTTACAATTCTTTTTCCTATGATTTCAAATACCTGCAAGTGTGATAATTTGTAAGTTAGAATAAAAAAAGAGGACACATATAAGAGTATGTCATTCCGAGAGAATCTACATTTGCCCATTACCAATGAGTTGTGAATTCAGATTTAACTTACATAATACTGGCAGTTTCAAGATTGTTAACCCAAATGAAAAATAAGGTAATACTTATTAAACTGTGTTTAAGCCTGAGTTTTTATCTGGAAAAATTAGTTGCCATACTGGAATTCCAATTAACTTTAATAATTAAAGAGAGAGTCAAAACACTATCCAAGACTGTCTCAGAATTAGGTCAAATAATACAACTTGAATACCCCTAAGGAGGTATTAATGAACAGAGAATCAAACTTCCAATCTTTTATGGAAAAAAGGGAGTAACAAAGTAAAATAGCATTGTAGGGTATACACTGATATTCAAATGAACTATTATTATTAGCTTATTCCTCATCTAACATTTCCCTCCCTTCTTTAACAGATAATGGATGATACAAAGTAAAGGGTTACATGGGGTGGTTCCACAAATACCTTCAGCTATTGCCCCCCAAATGAACATAAGTGTTATTAGGGCTTATCTGCCATTATGACTAAAAATACATAAAGCTATTTCTGTCAGGATCCCAGCAAGAAACAACTGGCACACCCAAACTGGAAAATATAAGAAAGTTTAATAAAAGGAGCTAATTTCATAGGTGTTAGTGAAGAGCAGAGAAACTGCTAGATATAATGTAGCACCTCTTAGCTATCATTGCCAGAAGAACAGTGAGCAACTAACTCTGAGTCAGTGGGCATCACCTGTAGTGCAGGCTTTCCAGAGTCTACCCCACCTCAGTGCTGCCAGGATCTCCCTTGTCAAGCACTACATTCTCAGTATGCGTGCATCCTCCTCCCCTTACAGGCTGGGGGAAGCTGCTGGGAAGGAGGGTTGGAGCTGAGTGGTCATTAAAACTCATGGGCTGCATGAGCACACCTGATGTCTTTCAGGAGGCTTTTGGGCACCCTGCTCTCTATTCAGCTGACACCATCTGCACAGCAGGACAGACTACATCTAACAACAAGCCAGTCTACAATTTTTCTGTCTCTCAGCTCTTCCTTTTTTGCATGAATAAATCCTTTTTATTTCTGTCTGTCTTGCATTTTTTTTTAAAGATTTATTTATTCATACAGAGCTGGGGTACAGGCCAGAGATGCGGAGAGTGAGAGGCTTCACCAGAGACAGAGTGGGGAACAGAACAGGCAGCTCGACTAAGTACACTGCTGAGGGGAGCAGCGAGCGGGTCAGGAGAGGTCTGCCGCGCCATGTGGATCTCCTCCGGGGCAGGTGGGGATCGAACTCATGAACTCATGCAGAAGTAGCTTTTGATTCTCAGTACAGTGCTTTAACCCACTGCGCCACCAGGGAGGGACTGTCTTGCATTCTTAAGCTTACATGAGAGGATTCAACAACCAAACCATTCCCTTTGTTTCAGGGTTTGCCCCATTTCATCCTTAAGCTTTAAGGGGTATGAGGAGGAAGGAGTAATTACTGAAACCCAGTCCTCAGGACAGCTTCATTTCATCTGGTATGGAGATAGCCACAGTACAGTAACCGTTCTTTGGTTGAAGGCCACTAAGCCTACAGTGAGCCCTCCTGGAAAGACACAGGAATAAACAACCTGCTTTACCCTCGCTGCCTCTGATTTCTTGTCAATGCTGCCCAGTGGCCAAACCAACCCAGAAGCCAGAGGGCACAAGAGCCACTGAGGGTACAAAGCCAATTTTGCATTTATATTCTAAATTATGAGTTAACCAAAAGGGCAAGCAATAATCTTAAGCAACACTTGTTTATACACCACATGGGGTTGCCTCTTTTAATTTAAACCAACAACTCAAATAGACTAAAAACTTGCTTCAATGAGCTAGAGCTTCAATGAAGCTTTGGCATCATAGAGAAGTCATTTTCATTTTTGATACTGTTATATATTTTTTACATTTTAAAAAGGATAGGTATATTAGGAAAGAGAAAAAGAGGCACCTGCGTAGTCACAGGTAGACAGGAGAGCTGCTAGAGGAGTCATTTTTAATTCTTATCAACAGTATTGATTGATTTAACAATTACCTTCTTGTTGAAAGCAAAGAAATTTACTTAATTCCACTTGTAGGAGACATGGCAAGGTATCATCCTTTGGTATCTATCTTACTGAAGAAAATGTATAGTCTATAAGAAATGTTTTTTAAATTTAAAAATGTAGTTAAATATTATTTTTAGCAAGATTCATAAAGGGCATGAACCCGTGCAACTGAGTTTTCTTATTATCACTTCACTCTGTCAGGAACCATCTCAGAGGCTTTTAAAAATTACTGATTATCCCATCTATCAAACCAACTTTGAACAAGTATCTTAATAAGCTTTGAAACAATCTAATTCTATTAGTATATAACCTGAAGAGCATATTGTTTTGTATGTTTATAGTGAATTGGGTTTAAAGTTTTGATTATATTAATACATATAAGGGGAGTGGAGAAGGAAAAGAAGGTAAGGAAGGGAAAAAGAAGGAAAGAAGGGAGAGAGGAAGAGAGAAAGAGGAGAAAAAGAAAAAAACACATTTTAGTGAGATGTGGAGACACTACAGCGCTTAGCCATTAATGATGACAATGTTATGGCTGCTGAGGAGAGCCGTGTGGTATCCCTTAATAATAGAAATGCCACATGCTCCAGCAATTCTACTTCTAGGTAGTCATAGACTGAAAGCAGCAACTCAGCAGATATTTGTACACCCACATCCATAGTGACATTGTTCACAATCACCAAAGGCTTCAGAAGCAACTGTATCCACTGGATAAACAAAACGTGGTAGAGTCATGCATCACTTAATGATGGAGATACATTCTGAGAACGCATCATTAGTTGATTCTGCTGTGGTACCAGCCTGATAAAGTACAACTGCACATACCTACAAGGTGGTGTTTATATACAATGGGGTCTCATTCAACCTTTATAAAGGAGGGAAATGTTGGCACACACTGCAACACAGAGAAATGATGAGGACATTATGCTAAGTGAAGTAAAACAGTTGCAAGAGGAAAAATTCTATGATTCTACTCATATGATGTTCTTAGAATCAATCATCAAATTAATAGAAAAT